GGAAAACCGATCGTAACAACACAACCGGATCCGGACTCCCCCGTTTTGCCTGAGACTTCCTCACGAAAATGATGAAAATGAGGCTGCGGCCTAGGCGCGGCGGGGGGGTCGTGCACCAGGGGTCCCAACAATAATTATTCTTTAGAAGTAATAATGTTCAACAACAACAACAACAACAACAACAACAACAACAACAACAACAATCATTTTACCCGAACGCTCAGTGTTCTCCCCAGTGCCAGGGTTTTCATGCGACGCCAGCCAATACCCCCACTTCGTGGGGGGGCAATGCAAGCTCTACCAAACATCCACACGACTCTCGGGAACCACCCACACCCAGCTTCCCGCCCTATGACGTCAGGACACTTCACTTCGTGGCGCGCGGACGATCGTGGATACTACACTGGCGTGGAGTACACACCCGCAGAGGTTGATCACTTGTTTGGGCCCCGCATGTGCCCCGCATGGTGCATTTGTTGCGTATGACATACATAGTACAGAGAGACAGAGAGAGAGAGAGAGAGAGAGAGAGAGAGCAAGACAGAGAGCCAGTGGAGAGAGAGATAGAAAGAGATTCGTCACATGTGTGAGGCAACCTGAGAAGATGTGGTACACGGTACACGTGAGATGGTACGCAGTGCCAAGATAGTTGGTCACATTTTTGAGGCAAATTCCTGGGAAGGCGATTGCACAAGTAGATGTGTTACGTATGATAGATATGAAGCAGAGAAAGAGCGAGAGACAGAGAGAATCCACTCTCGACAGACATTCGACCCGTCTCATACCCCCAGGCCTTCAGACGCACCTGCATATTCCGGTAGTCGAGGCCAAGGCCCAGGTCGGAGACCTCCTCTCGATACCGCTTGCCGCATGCCGCCTCTAGAGCCTCCACCGTCATCAGCGTCATACGAACCACATCTGTGGAGGAAGAAGCTGCCGTGGCCTGCTGCTTGGATACGGGCTCCTCCCAGTCGACCGCGGCAGGCCGTTTGGCCACGCGGGCAGATCCGGCGGCGGCTGGCCGTTTCAATACACCGCCTGCGACCTGTGCCGCCGGGCGCTTCAATACACGCTTGGTGACGGCCTGGGCGGATGAAGCCGCCGCCTGCACGGAGGAGCCCACCGACGCATACACATCGCACCACTTTCTCAACACTGATCGGGACACCAAGACAGCTTTCCGTCGCGTACGCAACACGGTATGCAACGCGTGGCACTTCAGCCCTGGATATACATCGCGCATGTGGTCACCAAGTGCCGCGTTGAGCTTTTCGGCCGTGTCGTACTGCAAAGGTCCAGAGTCAGGGTGAAACTTCACGTACCATTGCCTCAAAACCATACCGCTGACAGCGACGGGAGGATCGCTCTCCGAGAGAAGCTGCGAGAGGACCTCCGCGGCGGCATCGTCGGCGAAGCTCTCCCGATACTGATTGAATCGAAGACGCTCGCCCATACATTCCTCCACAGCTTGGGCAGTGTTGAGTGCCCCCTTGGCGCCCCACTCCGTGCTGAGCCACTTCTGGCATACCCTGGCGTTAGCAGATACAGATAAATGTCCAAGGAGCCACTGCTTCAAGACGGCCCCGTCAGTGGTCCCCTCGGGCATGTCTTTGCGAATACGTTCTCCATACCAGCTCTCCAGATGGCCAGCGTTCTGCACTTGGACAAGCGTGTCTTTCGATGAATACTGCAGTAGCCACGCCGTTGCGACCCTATCTGGCACATACAGTGGTGGATCCAACTGTCGGAGCGCCCGGCATAATTTGTAAGCGGTATTATACTCGATGCCCAGGTGGCGGATGGCAGACCCGTGCTGCTCCTCCAGCTCCTTGGCGCTAGAAATACTGACCTTGCCAGTCACAACCCGATACTTGGCCCACCAAGTCTTGCACGCCTGGTGACTGGCATTGATACCCTTTGCCGCGAGCGCCTGATGCAAATAATACGCACTCTCGCAGTCGGCCAAGGGAGGCCGGGACAGCTCTGCGCCATACTGCTCGTGAAGGTCTTTCGCCGTCAAAGCCATGATCCAAGAACACAGGCGATACCTTGATCCGAGATGGCTACGGATATGAGCGTGAGAGGAAGGGGGGAAGCCTCCTGGGGCCGCTGGGGGTCCTCTTGGGGAAGGGGGGAAGCCTCCTGGCGCCGCATGGGGTCCTCTTGAGAGGCTTTGGGGGGCTTCTTGAAAGCATGTTGGGGCCTCTTGGGGGCTTATTGGATCCTCCCGGAGGACTCTTGGAGCCGCTTGGACGCCTCCTGGGGCCATCTTGGGGGCCTCTTGGAGCCAACTTGGAGCCTCTTTGGAACCTCTTGGGGGCCTCTTGGAGTCCTCTTGGGGCCTCTTGGGACCATCTTGGGCGCCTCTTGCGGCCTCATGGGCGCCTCTTGGGGCCATCTTGAGCGCCTCTTGGGGCCATCTTGGGTTTTAAAGATTCATGAAGAGCCCGCGGGTGGATTTTGATATTTTTCGGATGAGAAAGTCTTGCGTTTGCATATGTTTTCGGAACATCGCATCTTGAAATTATTGAAATCACATTATGTTTGGCAGGATTTCGGCACGCGCGCGCGGCGGCCGCGCGCATGTGCACTTCGTGTCATTTTTTGCAAGGGATGGTGGCCCTCGTAGGCTCGCAACCGTTGTTGCAGAAGGTCGAAGCACCTGAAAAGGTTCCTCGCAAAGGCCCTTTTAACAGAAATGTTTAAAATCTGGTGGGTTTCCTAGGAATCCGCAAGAGCGCGCGGAAGGACATTTTGACAATTTTTTCTGAGAAAACCATTGGGTTTTTGATGTTTTTATGTTAAAATCGTTACGAAACCTAAGGTTTTGGAAGGATTTCGTCTTGCGCGCACGAATGTCCACTTTACCTTATTTTTTGCAAGGGATTCTTGCAATTTGATCAAGTAAAAACAAGAATTTTCATTTTCTATTGTTTTTTGCAAGGGAAAACGAGCGTCAACAAAAAACCGGATCCGGAGCTCATCCACTTTTCTGAAGCTTTCGCGAAAAAATGATGAAAATGTAGCTGCGGCCTAGGCGCGGCGCAGAGGTCACGCACCAGGGGTCCCAACAATAATAATTCTTTAGAAGGAATAATGTTCAACAACAACAACAACAACAACGCAAGGACACTCTCTCAGGCCACCCTGGCGGGGCCCGTGGGTGTGTCCTCGCCCCCGGGGCGAGCGCACTGCCCCAGGCCACACGTTGCAGTTGTTGCCCCGGGGGGGGGGAGCAACGCGCAGCACCTCGAGAGGGGTGTGCCGAAATGGAGCCTCGGTGGAGCCCCCTGTGGGGCCAGGGCCACGATCCGTGAGAGGGGTGCGCCGAAACCAAGCTTCGGTGGAGCTCACTGAGCCACGATCCTCGAGAGGGGTGTGCCCAAATCAAACCTCGGTGGAGCTCCCTGTGGGGCCAGGGCCACGATCCGTGAGAGGGGTGCGCCCTTTGGGGCCTGTATGGGGCTCCGCAGCAGTCCCGAAAGGACCTGCCGAGCAACGCCGCCGGGCCCTGCAGACCCCCGCAGCGGCCTGGCGAGGCCTCGTGGCGTTGCTCGGACCAGGGGCCCTGCAGGGCCCGTGCGTGGCCCCGTGGTGTTGCTCGGGGGGGGGTCGAGCAACGGGCCTCCAGTAGTGTCCTCGCGAACAACAACAACAACAACAACAACAACAACAACAACAACAACAACAACAACAACGACAACGACAACGACAACGACAACAACAACAGCAGCAGCAGCAACAACAACAACAACAACACCAACACCAACACCAACACCACCAACAACAACAACAGCAACAACAACAACAACAACAACAACAGCAGCAGCAACAACAACAACAACAACAACCACCATAGCAACACCAACACCACCTGCATCAACAGCACCACCGACAACAACAGCAGCAGCAGCAACACCAGCGACAACACAACCACCAACAACAACACCAACAACACCAGCACACACAACCACAACCACTACCACAACAACACCAACAACAACAAGAGCCACAAGACCATCAACAACAGCAACTACGACATGAACAACAACAACAACAACAACAACAGCAACAACAACAACAGCAACAACAACAACAACACCAACAACAACAACAACAACAACAACGACAACATCACACACATACACATACACGCTTATTCACACGTTCATGCATAAACACCGCCGCACTTACACACATACTCGCATACACGCTTACACACTTGCGCACCTTCATGCTTACACACTTGTTCTCTTACGCACTTACACACCTGCGTGTGCAATTATACGATCGCGCACTTACACTGCTGCGCGCACACACAACAGACACCGCCACGCACACGGACAAGCACACGCACACGGACAACCACAACGCACACATAACAAAATATACGCTTACTTACACACGTACATACTTACACGCTGCAGACCTTACACATACATACTCGCAAAGGCGCTTACACACGTACAACCCTACATGCTGACACCCTTGTTCACTTAGACACTTACACGTGTGTGCACTTATGCGATCACATACTTGAGCTGCTGTGCACACATGCACACGTACACACGCACATACGTACACACACCTTTACACCTACACACTACAGAAAACCACACAAACACGTATACACACTTAGATATTTACACCGATCCCGGGCCCAGGATGGGCCTGGCCAGGGTCGGTGAAGTGGCTGGCCAGCATACGTCTCCTGGAGACAAAGAGAGACAGAAAGAGAGAGAGAGAGACAACAAAATAAAGGCCAGCCGCGAAAAGAGAATTCCCGAATGGGGTCAGAATGGATGGGGTCGGAGGATCGCGCCGCATCGCTGATGCATCGCTGCTGAATCGGCGATGGTTGGTGATGAATCGGCGACGTCGGCGTGGACAAAATCGGGCCCGACATCGAGCCGCATCGCCGATGCATCGATGAGGCGGCGCGATCCTTCGGCCGGACCCCACCAGGGATGCTTGGAGAAGAGAGGCCGCCACGGGGGGGCGGTGTCCGAGAAGGTCTCGAACGAGTCGTCCCAGGGCTGGCAGAGCATATTTTAGGACAGGCATTCTGTCATGCTGCGATCGGCTCAAGATACGCTCCAGGGACTCTGGAGCATCTAGCGGTCCTCGCTTCTGGGGCCCGCGAGGAGCACAACAGGCCATCTAGGAAATCCTGGAAATCTTGAGGTTCTAGAAACGCATCATTACCATGTGATCAAAGGTGGGCAGTTAGTTGATGCTCACGCAAGGCGAGCCCCCAGCATCACTAGATGAGCGAACTCATTCTGAAGCACGGCAGCTTGGACAACAATCCGCTGCGTCTGAATACCTGTGAGTCGCCAGCTCCCCCACCGATGGGAAGGGGGCTCCTCAACGCTGGAGCTGGCCAGGGGGCCTACCCATCCCCCCACACCCCACCCCTTGCGCGTGGCCGACATCTCGCTCTTGCGCGGTCGTCGCCACCGCGATCCTTCTCGTCTCCGTCGTCTCCGTCGCCGTCGTCCTCCTCGCTCGTCTTCGTCTTCGTCGTCGTCGTCGTCGTCGTCGTGGTGTCGTCGTCGTCGTCGTCGTCGTCGTCGTCGTCGTCGTCGTCGTCGTCGTCGTCGTCGTCGTCGTCGTCGTCGTCTCGCTCGGCGGCGCCTGCGCACGCGCGAGCGCGCGGGAGCCTCGGGCCCGGCCTGGAGCTGCGGGCGCGGAGGGGGGCGAGCGGGGCGCTCGGACACGCCCCCTTGGCGCGGAGCCGAGGGCGGCCCGCCTCGGCTCGGGAGTGGTGCCTTGATTGGGCGCCCGAGTTATCCGGGGTAACTCGGGTCCGGGGTAACTCGGGTTTGGATTCCCGAAAAACGAACCCGAGTTAGCCCTGACCCGAGTTACCCCTGATGATTCGGGGCCCTGGACGCCCGAGTTATCCGGGGTAACTCGGGTCCGAGGTAACTCGGGTTTGGATTCCCGAAAAAGGAACCCGAGTTAGCCCTGACCCGAGTTACCCCTGATGATTCGGGGCCCTGGACGCCCGAATTATCCGGGGTAACTCGGGTCCGGGGTAACTCGGGTTCGGATTCCCGAAAAACGAACCCGAGTTATCCCTGACCCGAGTTACCCCTGATGATTCGGGGCTCTGACTTGACGCGGTTGGCCCGGAAGTGGAACGTACAGAATGGGTACAACGATGTGGCTCGAAGACACGAGACCCTCCACAAGAAACCCAACCCCGATACCCCTGGACGTCCGTCGGTTTTCGGTGTGGGGACGTCACGCTTCCCATGGCAAAACCATAGACACCTCCCGAGAACCAAGGCCACCCTGGAGGCAAGCAGGGTGTTTCTTGGCATGGGCTTCCAAGGCATGGAAAACCTGGGTACGGCCAGACCTGGGACAGACGAACATCCTCCAAGAGCATCAGAGCCTCCGCCGGCCAAACCGAAGAACATTCGAGGGTGCTCTCCCCGAGGATGCACGAGAACATCCCACACATACGAAGAACATCAAGGCAACCTTCCCGAACCGACATCGATCTCATACCTCGGCCCGGCCGTATGATGCCAACCACCAGATGCTGTCCAACACCGACGGCTGCCGCTGCTGGCCAGGCGGCATTCTGCTTCAAACGGACAGCGTCCGCGGCGACACCGACAGCGAGCCTGTTCAAAATGAACCAGAACTGATGGGCCTGTTTTCCACCACCACCGTACATTGGAGGGGGAGGGGGTCCTTCTCCTCCTCCTCCTCCACCTCCTCCTCCTCGTCCTCCTCGACCTCCACCTCCTTCCCCCCTCCAACTGATGGTGGTGGCAGTGGAAAACACGCCCATCAAGAACTGCTGTCGGTCTTTGCGCCCGTTCTGTCCGTACCCTCGCTCATGCCGGCAGGCGAGGGGCAACGATCTGCGGGGGGCTGGCCCAAGGTTGGCAACATCGACCCGGAATCGGCGCCCCTCCTGGGTGTAAATCGGGCCTGTCCCTCTACAGGAGGGATAATCAAAGATGGTAAAACAAAACTGGGAACTATTTCCGAATCTTTTTTATGTTATCTTTATGTTCCCTCGAACATCGGCCTGTAAGGGGGACAGGCCCGACCTAATCCTGGGTGCGTCTGACCGGCATTCCGCGGCGGAACTAGCCGTGGCCAGGATTCCGCTGCGGAGGGAAGGGGGAGGGAAGGGAGCCATCACGTGCTTTCTGGCCCAGGCCTGGGAAAAAACACACTCTCCTATCCCCTCATGGTTCATGCCGTCTCTGCCTGAGTTGGGCGCCCGAGTTATCCGGGGTAACTCGGGTCCGGGGTAACTCGGGCTTGGATTCCCGAAAAAGGAACCCGAGTTATCCCTGACCCGAGTTACCCCTGATGATTCGGGGCTCTGGACGCCCGAGTTATCCGGGGTAACTCGGGTCCGGGGTAACTCGGGTTTGGATTCCCGAAAAACGAACCTGAGTTATCCCTGACCCGAGTTACCCCTGATGATTCGGGGCTCTGACTGAGCGTCCCAGCCCGTGCGGCGGCAGGTGGCAGTCAAGCCACCCCCTGGCCTGAAAGAGACAGCCAAGCTGCTCTGCCGGCGGAGGCGGGGCGGGGGGGGGGGGTCGGGAGGAGTCGACCAACGATACGAATCCAGCTCCTTCCTCCTCCCTCCCCCCCAGAGCAAAAGATGACACACTGGGCATCGCTTGGACGTCCATTTCCTGTGTTTTTTGGGGGGGTTCGTGTGTGTTTTTTTCGCCAGATGGTCGAGGATGCTCCTCGAAGGTCCTCGCCGAAGGAAAAATGCACACGTCCGAGCGATGCCAAGCACACACACGGCAACACCCCCCCAGCAGCACGCGACCTGCACGACGGGGTGCTCCGAGATCGCCCTCTCCCTCCGCTCGCCGTGCCGTGCGCGCGCGGCGTGCGCGTGGGCGTGCCGTGCCCGAGCTCGAGAGGGCGAAAACCGCGCCGCGCCGCGCCGCGCGCACGTGCTGCGCCGCGCGCGCGCGCACCCGCCGGCCCGAGCTGCAGCCTGCGTGAGACCCGTGCCGTGCCCTGCCCTCCCCGCCGCGCGCGTGCCGCGCCCGAGCACCAATGGGGCGCGACGGCACGCGCCACGCGTGCCGTGCGCGCGCGGCGTGCCCGCGCGGCGTGCCCGCGCGGCGTGCCGTGCCCCCGCGCCGTGCCCGGCTCTCGGGCACTGTGCGCGCCGGCTCGTGCGGCGTGGCGGTGTGCAGGGTCTCTGTGCCGGCGGAGGCTGTGCTCAGACAGCGTGGGCCGTCGCGGCCATGTCATCGCTCGGACGTCCATCTCCTGTGTGTTTTTTTCAGTTTCGTGCGTGTTTTTTTTTTTTCCGGGAAACGATCCAGGATGCTCCTCGATGGTCCTCGCCGAGGAAAAAACGCACACGTCCGAGCGATGCCAGGTGGCCTGGCTCTCCGGGGGCCGCTCGGGCGATCGTGCGCACCCCGCGGGAGGGGCTCGGCGAGGCGCGGCCGCACGACCGCAAGGCTGGATTTGACCTCCGAGGGCCAACGAGGTCGATCGAACACGAACGGGGGGGATCCAGACATCCGACGCCACGATTCTTTCAATGCGCGGCCCCAAATGTCCCACCTTGTCCCATGCCAATTCTCCGCACCGAGGCAGAGGAGGGGGCGGAGGAAGAGGCGGCGGAGGAGGAGGAGAAGGAGGAGGACGGGGAGGACGAGGACGAGGAGGAGGAGGAGGAGGAGGAGGAGAAAGAGTTGGAGGAGGAGAAGGAGATGGCCCAGTGGCCCGATAACGGCACCCTGAGGCGCACACATCGAGGACTAAAGCCGCCAGCTGAAACGAGTATGCTGTCGGAGTCCCCCACATCAGGATGTCAATGAAGGGGCCCTGGAACACACAAATAAATAGACACACATACACGCTGGTCGGAAGAAGTGGGTAGAAACATGAAGTCGGAAGGCGGATAAAGTAGATTGGGTTCAGGCCCTCCCACATAATAACAAAACATGACAAACTCATATCGAGTCTTGAAGTAGAAAGGCGCTTGAAGTAGATTGGGATCTGGGGTTCAAAAATACCTACTTAAAACGACTGGCGTGTAACAGGATTCCCCATATTTTCATGAATTTGATGGGTCTTTGTTTCCCCCCCATTTCCCATAGTTTCCCATATTTCTTGGGAATCGACGATTGATTGCGTCTGTGTGTGTGTGTTTCCCTCCTGAGTCAAAGGATTCGCGAGCTCAGCGGGGCATCACAATGGCAACATGAGCGGGAGCCTCATGAGGTTGGTGCACGCTCACGGAAGGGCAGAGGCAGGCAGGGAGGGGAAGCAGGCAAGGAGGGAGAGGACGGATGTCGAGGACGCACTTCGGCCCCCTCTTGGAATCGTACCCTCAGGGTTTGGGGGTGCCGATCGTTCAGACTTGTTGCTTATGTTGGCAGAGGGCATTCTCCTTCCCTTGCTCCCTGGTGGAAGGAAACACATGACAATAGTGGGCGGGTACAGTGGGGAAGGGCACGAATCCTGATGAATAGCAAGGTATCCGCATAACCCGCCTACTCCTCATCATCCGAACTGGATGGGAGATGGCGAGGGAGTGCGCGGAGGAGGAGGAGGAGGAGGAATACGAGATGTGGGCAGGGAGTGGGACGAGGAGAACGAGAGATAGGAAGGAAGTGGGAGGAACGAACAAAAAGATATTGAAGAATGCAGAGGGCCTGCTGCGGTCAAGCGGGGGCTCCCTGGAAAACTGACGGCACTGTTAAGTGTGGCGAAAGCGGGCGGGAGCATTTTTAACGGGCGGTCCGACAAGGCCTCCCAGGAAGGGGAAACGTGGTATTGGTGGGTCGGATACAGTGGGGAAGGTACGAACCCTGATATATATATATATATATAGATATATATATATATATATATAATATATATATATATAACACGACCTCCCTAGAGGCAAAATCTGTGCCACAATACATGACAAACTACACGGGCTTCGAACAGCACGCGCAAGGTGACACGGCCTCCCACGAGGTAGAAAATGTGCTAACGGTGAGGCTGGTGGAGACTGGAGGGCAAGATCCCTGACAAATGACACGGGTTCCGCATAGCCCGCGCAATCTGACACGGCCTCCCTGAAGGTAGAGGCTGTGCTACTGGTGAGGCTGGTATGGAGGGCACGATCCCTGGTAAATAACACGGGTTTCGCATAGTCCGCACCATCGGACACGGCATCCCTGGAGCTAGAGGCTGTGCTACTGGTGAGGTGGTGAGGCTGGAGGCTGGAAGGCACGATCCCTGATAAATAACACGGAGGGATTGGCATAGCCCGCGCAATCCGATACGGCCTCCCCAGGGAAATAATCAGTGCTACGGGTGAGGTTGGTGAAAGGGGAGGGATCCCACATAGATGACACGATTTTCGCATAGCCCGCGCAGTCCGACATGGCCTCCCTGGAGGTATTGGCTGTGCTTTTGGCGAGGATGGCGTAAGCTGGAAGGCACAACCCTTGATAGGTAAGAAATGTCTTCGCATAGCCCGCGCAATAGAGGTAAACTCTGTGCTACCGGTGAGAATGGTGGAACAGAGAGGGCACGCATCCTGATACAAATCACAAATTTCGCATAGTGCCCGCGCAGTCTGACACGGCCCCCTGGAGAGAGAACCTGTGTTATTGATGAGAGGCTGGAGAGGGGGGCAATCTCGCTGATAGATACCACGAGTCCCGCATTGCCCGCGCAAATCGACAAGGCCTCCCAGGAGGTAGAATATGTGCTACTGGTGAGGATCGCGAAAGGGGGAAAACACGATTCCTGACAAATAACACGGGTCCCGCATTTCCCGCGCAGTCCGACTCGGCCTCCCCGGAGAGAGAACCTGTGCTATTCATGAGGCTGGAAGGGGGGAGGGCACGATCCCTGACAAATGGCACGGGTTTCGCATAGCCCGCGCAGTCCGACGCAGACTCCCTGGAGGTAGAATCTAGAATATGTGTTACCAGCGAGGCTGGTGGAAACAAGAGGGGTGGAGGAGGCAAGACGCCTGGTAAACAACGTGGTGCTCTATATCTGCCGCCGGCAACTACGATGGCAGATAGCAAACGCGATGCTGCCCAAGAGTCTGGTGTAATCGTGGAGCTTGCAAAACAAGGGGATGTGGAGCCCGCGCCAAAGGGCGTGGAGCTTGCGTGAACGAGGAGGACGAGGATGAGGAGGAGGATCCGGAGAAGGAGGAGCTTGAGAGGGTGTTCCCAGACAGAAAAAAACGCTCAAGATGCGGGGAATCATATCGTCGTACATCTGGGCCCACTGGATCTCCACGGGCCTCTCCCGGGCTAAGCCTTGCGAGGCAATTCCAGCCGTGGCGACGAAGACGTTCCCAGCGACCCTGCAAAAGCTAATTCGAGGGAGATGATGATGCTGATGCTGATGCTGATGATGCTGATCCTGCTGATGATGATGAGGATGATGCTGATGCTGATGCTGATGCTGATGATGATGATGATGATGATGATGATGATGATGATGATGATGATGATGATAATGATGATGATGAGGAGGAGGAGGAGGAGGAGGAGGAGGATTAGGAGGAGGGGGAGGGGAGAAGGAGGAGGAGGAGGAGGACGACAGACACAGACAGTCACCTCTGTGCACTTCCAAGCTGGTTTGACTACACCGGGAAGCCCTAGGAACGTGGAGGAGGAGGAGGAGGAGGAGGAGGAGCAGAAGGGTGGGAGGAGGAGGGAGGCGGAGGCGGCGGAAGGAGGAGGGAGCGGAGCGGGAGGAGTGGAAGGCGGAGGAGGAGGAGGAGGAGGAGGAGGAGGAGGAGGAGGAGGAGGAGGAGGGGGAGGGGGAGGGGGAGGATGAGGCAAGGGAGGAGAAGTAGGAGGGGGAGGAGGAGGAGCAGGAAGAGGAGGAGGAGGGAGACCAGTGCAAACCCAAGGCACATCAACGATGTTGGAAGAAGCCCTCCTTCAAAGCTCCCCCTTCACAGGCCCTTACGAGGGGGAACTGCTTCGTAGAGAGACAATCGTTTGAAGACCCTGAAGCGCACCAAAACACCATTCTCGGGACTCCAACGCCACGGAACAACCATTCTCGGGACTCCCGATCCTGAATCGTGCCAGAGCACCACTCCTGGAACGCAAACACAGCGAATAAACGTAACAATTGCCCCCTCATCATCCTGAAATTGAAGACGAACTCTGGTATGTTGACCCTGGGAATCCGTGAAACTAGTGAATGTTTAGAGCACGAATGCGCGCGGCGCTCAAGCGAGAACCACAAATTGCAAAACAACCACCCTCAATCCGTGAAACACTTGCGATGTGTTAAGACGAGTGTGCGCGGAGCAAGACCGACAACGACATTAAAAACAACCGAACCGCCCTGAATCCGTGAAACCCTGGAAACATTTAACAACGAGTGTGCGCGGCGCTACGGCGAGAACCACATGTTGGAAGCAACCCGCCTTCCATCCGTAAAGCTGTTGCCATTCGTTAGATTCAGGGTCATAGATGGTGAGGATGTCTCAAGCGAGACGCCCGGCCTGCCCTCTCGACCGGCCTCGGGGCGCGACGGGGAGGAGTTATTTAGAGTGAAGGCTAGAGAAACCCAACCCTGAGACCCAACCCAACCCTGAGACCCCAAGACATCCATTGGCTTTTGGTCTGGGAACGCCACGCTTTCCATCGCAAGACCAGCGACAGCCCAAGAGACCCAGGGCATCCTGGAGGCAAGCAGGGTGTTTCTCGGCATGGGTCTCCTTTGTGTAACCTTAGGTCGGGTCTGCCCCCCTACAGGGGGATTCTTGACGTAACATAACACATACGAAAACATGCTCCCAAATGGTCAACAGTACTCCACAAATCGTCCCCACAGTATTTCTTGACGATGTTTGAATATTCCCCCTGTAGAGGGACAGGCCCGACTCAAGTATAACGGCGCGGAATGGAAGAGGAGAAGCCCCCCCCCCAAAACAAAAACAAATCGCCCTCCTTCTTCTCCAGCGGGACCCTGGCCGAGATGGGTTCCAGGGCGGCGGGCAGCGCCGACACCTCTCGGCTCGGCCAGCCAAGCCCCTGGCAGTGGCGCGCGGCCCCGCACCCAGGAAGGGGGGGGGGAGGTCCTCCTCCCTCCTCCTCCCACCTCCTCCTCCTCCCCCTCCTCCTACCTCCTCCTACCTCCTCCTCCTCCTCCTCCTCCTCCTCCTCCTCCTCCTCCCTCCCTCCCTCCTCCTCCCTCCCTCCCTCCCTCCCTCCCACTCCTCCTTCCCTCCTCCTCCTCCTCCTCCTCGTCCTCCTCCTCCTCCTCCTCCTCCTCTTCGGCATGTTTCCTTTCTCTGCCGCCGCCTCCCCCCCTCTGGCCCCCATCCTCCTCCTCCTCCTTCTCCACCTCCTCGTCCTTCCGATATGTTCCTTCCTCTGCCACCGCCCCCTCCCTCTGGCCTCCACCTCTCCTCCTCCTCCTCCTCCTCCTCCGCCTCGTCCTTCCGTCATTTTCCTTCCTCTGCCGCCTCCTCCCCCCATCTGGCCTCCGCCTCCTCCTCCTTCTCCTCGTCGTCCCGCCACCTCCGCCCGCCGCCGCCTCCTCAAACACGACCCTGAGACCATCTGAACTCCTCCCCCTCGTCCCGCCACGCCACCTGAGCCGCCGCCCGCCTCCTCCTCCTCCTCCTCCCTCCCTCCCTCCCTCCCTCCCTCCCTCCCTCCCCTCCCGCCCGCCTCCCTCCCTCCCTCCCTCCTCCTCCATTTCCTCCTCCTCCTCCTCCTCCTCCTCATCCTCTTCCTCCTCCTCCTCCTCCTCCTCATCATCATCCTCTCCCTCCTCCTCGAACACAACCCTGAAAAATTCGATGGGTGCTGCCTGCCAATGGCGCAGGAGAGACGAGGCGAGGCGAGGGCAGGGAAGAGAGCAACGACAGTGACGGTGGCGAGACGGGAACTGATCACGACGCGAGTGGTCCCAAAAGTCAGCCGTCACCACGCGACCCCAAAAGGATTGACAGGCACATGAGAAAGAAATGCCTGACGGCAGAAGGAGGCCCCCAACAGCCCCATTCACCCACTACTTCCGGATACTCGGCCCCGCTTTGGCAAGCAAGCGCCATCACAAACACGCGGCAACACTCAGGTGGGTTTGTTCTACAGTCAACCCGTGTAGTAAGGATGCGCGATAAGGATACAAGGGCCTTGGAAGGCCGTCTCGAAGCTTTTCGAGCGGGGCGCGGCCAGCAAAAGTGGCAGAGGATGGACCGAGGAGGCAAGGATGCACGGGTTCCCTCGGGAAGGCTCACCGTCCTTACTCTGCGGGTTGACTGTGCTTCCTGATAGCTGGCCGTGCTTTCGCAGGCAAGCGCCATCACAGACACGCGGCAACACTTTTTTTGGGGGGGGACCCAAAGGGCTCAGGAGGCTCCAGGGGGTCCCAGTTGAAGGCGGTCGACTCCTTGGTCGAGCAGTCCGAGGACACCGTGGCGAGGGGGGGGGGGCCACTGTCCGTGGGGAGCGTCTGCCTGCCGAACGGCAAGCAGGGCACGAGACAGCCGCGTTCCCCCGCGCGGAGCCCCCCCCCATCACAGACACGCGGCAACACTTGGGTGGGTCTGTTCTAGCATGCGCCGCTGCCCGCTCGCCGCAGTCGTGCTCCCGATGCCCGTCACGCGCTCCTCCTCCGAGCCGTGACGTCGTGTCAGCCTGCACGGCTAGGGCACGCACGCACAACTGAAGGGGCCCTGGGACACACAAATAAATACACACAAATAAAAAAAATCCCAATATTTTCCTATATTTTCTGGATTTCTGTCTTCCCCCCACTTCCCATATTTTCCCATATTTTCTGGGAATCGCCGATTAATTGTGTCTGTGTGTTTCTTCCCCTCCTGAACAACATCGGCGTTGCCTTTTCAGCGCCCGGGGCGGGATTCGGAACTGGTGTGGGCATGTCCACCTTCCTAGCGCACGCGCGCGGTAGAAGACGAGTGGTCTCAGGGAGGAGCCAAAGATGTGGGGCGTTGGCCCGGCGGCTCTCTGCAGGACGCTTCAGCACCACGGGTATTCCTGCCCATCGAAACAGACTGAGCGTCATGAGCAGTGCATTGCCACCGCTGAGCTGTCTCCTTTCCCAAGCAATCAAATTTGCAATGCCCCGCGGTCAAGTCAGGCTCCTCAGGGGCTGGGGGGGATTCTTGACTCCAGGGCAGGATTGGAACCCTAGCAGTGGACCAGGTTTCACAAGAGGGGCCCGCCATGACCCCGCAACTGTGTCCATCTTTGAGGCGAGGGGAGGAGGGAGGAGGGGGGAGGGGGGAGGGAGAAAGGATGAGGGAGGGAGGGAGGGAGGGAAGGCGGGAGGCAGGGAGGGAGGGAGGGAGGAGGGAGGAGGGAGGAGGGAGGAGGGCGGAGGGAAGCGGGAGGAGGGGGGGGAGGGAGGAGGGAGGAGGGAGGATGGAGGGAAGCCCACCGTCCGACAGCTTCAGGCGACGCAAGGTCCCCCCACCTGTCGTTGTTGGCAAGACTCACCGAGAGCACCGTGGCCCTGAACCCTCTGCTGCCACACTGCTGGCCGGGGACGTCCTAAAAGGTCCTGGGATCTGCGATGCCCAGAGAAGAGATGCAAACACAGCTTGCAGTTTTCCTCCATCGGAGGAAGAAAATCGCACGCGAACTTCTGGACGCCCGGAATGGGCACGGACAAAAATGGGCACAGTGCCCAACAACACATGCTGCCCCAAACCAACAGCGGCCGCTTCTGGGCAGGCGGCCCTCTCTCAAATGTACACGGGCCGCGGCGACACCGACAGCGAGCCCTGCTCAAAATGAACAGGAACCGCTGTTGGGCATCATGCCCATTCCTTCTGTACCCTTTCCGTTCGTGCCGGGGAGGACGAGGGTCGCACGCCAGCGTTCGGTTCGGTCGCCCGGCCGACCTGTGGCGGTGGCAGGGAGGATGCCCTGCAGCGGCGGAGCGAGCTGCCCATGGCAACAAAAACTTGGCCCGCAGACTCCCTGGGCTGGAACGTCAACGCGATGTTCATGATACCCTTTGGCTCCGTTCTCCTTCTGAGCTTGCTAACCTTGGCATACTGGGCCTCGATGAGCTCCTCGGGGGTCCCTCCTCGATCAGGGGCAAGCCGAGCCCGGCAACACTCTGGGGTCCTTCGGATCTGGGCGATCAGCCGATTATGGGGATGGAGCTGCATCAAAAATTTTTGGCATACTGAGCCTGTGGCTGGCGATCCTGGTCGGTCCCGGATCTTACGGTTATTCCCCCTGTGCACATTCAGAGTTTTAGAGTGAGCACTGACTCCATGCTGGACCCGCAGTCATAACAGACGACACGGTTGACCTGCTGCGGGCTGAGCGGCGATCGGATACTGCTCTGAAAATCTAAGTCGGTCCCCAGGGCCACCTCCGTCAGGTCCAAACAGAACTCTCCGGGAGACGGCTGGTTGCACCGCCAAAAAAGAAAGGCCCAGTTCCTCAGAAAAGACAAGACCCTAAGTGCAAGCACTGCTTGGGGGACTGTGTGTGTATATATATATATATATGTATGTGTATACATATATGCGTATGTGTATGTATGTGTATATGGATATGTATATGTATGAACATATACGCATAGATAGTGTATACATATATATATATATACATGTATGCCCCACTACTGCAGACATGTGTGCTTCGTCTTTCGCGGTGAAAGACTTACACGCCAGTCGGAATAAACACGTGGAAACACAGGAACAGGAAGGCAGAGAAAATAGAGTGGGTTCGGGGCCGCCCAAAGAATCACAACACACAGCGCTTGAAGTAGTTTTGAATATGGGAGCCCAGAAATACCTGCTTTCAACGACCATCGCGTACACGTGGCCTCCTGGGTGCCTCTTGGGGCGGAAAGCTCGAATCAGTGGTTCGTGTTTCCTCTCTTGGGCCCTGTTGGGGCCGTGTTGGGGCCTCTTGGGCGATCTTGGGCGCCTCTGGGGCCGTTTTGGGGCTCTCTTGGACCGTCTGAGGGGGCTCCTTTGGAGGAGGGAGAGGAGGAGGAGAAGGAGGAGGAGGAGGAGGAGGAGGAGGAGGAGGAGGGGGGGGGGAGGGGGGGGAGGGAGGGGAGGATGAGGAGGAGGAGGAGGAGGAGGAGGAGGAGGAAGGAGGAGGAAGGGAGGAGGAGGAGGAGGAGGAGAAGGAGGAGGAGGAGGGGGAGGAGAGGGAGGAGGGAGGAGGGAGGAGGAGGGAGGAGGAGGAGGGGGAGGAGGAGGGAGGAGGAGGAGGAGGAGGAGGAGGAGGAAGAGGAGGAGGAAGAAACATCGACCTGGAATCGCCGATGCATCGCCGATAGACCGGCGATAGGTCCCCGATCGCGACTCCGCATGGCTCTTGGGGTTGTGATGTTGGGCCCCTATCGGCGATGAATTTGCGTTTGGGGGTCGATGCGACCCCCTGAGCCTATCCCCCAGAACGTTGCCCCTGAATGCAGCTCCCGATCTCCGACGATTTGTTTGTTGTTGGAATCCTGGCGGGTGTTCCCAATTTCAATATCCAGGGCCCGCGGGCAAGTCTGATCGGCGGGTGTCTGGGGCCGACACGTGGCCACAAGAACGCGGATCAAGAACGTGAGCCTCTTCGCAGAAGGTCCGGAGGAGGAGGAGGAGGAGGAGGAGGAGGAGGAGGAGGAGGAGGAGTTGGAGGAGGAACAGGGGGAGAAGGAGGAGGAGGAGGAGGAGGAGGAGGAGGAGAGGAGGAGGAGGAGGAGGAGGAGACTTCCAGAACGCCTGCCCGAGGAGGCAGGGCGGTCTCTTATAGAGAAGACGACCCCCCTCGCCATGCCGGGTTCTGCGAGCGGACCGGGGAGGAACTCGCTGAGCGCTGGTCGGAGGCCTCCGGGAGCCTCCAGGATCGTCAGGGCGGAAACTTGTTGTAGCGTTCGGAACGGCTTCGCGTGCCATGACCTCCAACGTATTGAACCATTGAAGACGGGTATGTATTCATAATTGTCTGCATTTCCGGGCCCTCGCCGGGACCCGGGACCGTCGTAAAAAAAGGCTTAGGGCGGAAAACTGGTCCTGGGAGAAGGGTCGGGACTTCTAGGGACCGTGTACGGCAAAAACTGATACATCGGGCGTCTTGGTGTCCTATCATTCGAATTACCTGGCAAACGACCTGGCGAACTGCACCGCGCAATGTCGCTAAACGAACGGTTCTGTGTTGAAAAATGTTGCGCGGGGTACCGTTTTACGCCAAGTCGTTGTCTGCCGGTCCCGACGGTGCCTGGGGAGGGCCCAACGGACCCCAAAATAGCGAAGAACCTCTGGGAGCCGTCCCCTCGCTTATTGATGGTTGGGCTCGGGGTGGGCGAGAGAATGGGATAGCAAAGGGGGGTCTGGGGGATGTTGTTTCTTGTCCCCCTCGTGGCTCCTTGGATGTCAGACAGTGCCCCCAGAAGATGACAAGCCTTCATCATGTAACTACAGCGGGCTCTGACAACGCATTCGCTGCTGAACAAACGGCACATCGATGCGTGGGACGGAACGCATTCCTGACAGGAAACTAACACTAAGGGCAAAAACGAAACCGTCAGCCCATAAATCTGATATTTTGTTTTCTCTAATTTGTCCCCAAACATCCCCACACTTTCTCCAGGGCCGGCTTTTTCTTCCCAAGTCGTTTTCTTGACGGCCCCTCGACGCCGCAAGCGGCCACCCCGGGGCCGAACACGGCTGCAAAAATATCCGTCGTGGTTTATCACAACGTTGGTAGTCTTTGGTTGCGTGAAAATTCGACTCGTGACAAGAAAAAAAGTGATTGCCCATGCTGGACATACATTGGCAACTCTCTGTATCTATACGGTTAAATCTGAGCCACGTCTACAGCGCAAAGCGGGGGGTGCTGGTAATTGGCATGACATTCCTTGACAAAAAACCTTGCCCAGATTTGTGGCTGCCGCGGTCGTCGCGGCGACCTCAAAACCGTCTCGGAGGTTTTGTTCGAAATCGGATATCCAGCCACGGGTCTGAGCGAGCCAAAGGGGTTGGGGCAGACGGGCCAGCGGAGGAGATTCCGGGGGCGCCCAAGAGGTCCTCGCAAACCACGGCCCGAGGAATGTGCGCGGACCAGGAGGGGGTCCAGGGAACTTGTTGAACGAAAGAGGAGAGGGGGCCATGCAATCTGGTGAGATCTCATGGCCATGGCCATGATCTTCACCCCCCTCTTGGCCGACCCCGAGACAGCAGAAAAGATTGTCGGCCGGCGGGCTGACCGGGCCGCCGGCTGGCCTGGATAAGGTTGAGCATCTCCACGCACCGCTCGCGCTGGGGGCCCGTGCCGACGATGCAAGCGTCGCTGCCTGGGTGTCCCGTCCCCTTCCTCCCTCGTCTTCGTCCTGGTGCACGAGGCGGGGGAGGAGGAGGAGGAGGAGGAGGAGGAGGAGAGGAGGAGGAGGAGGAGGAGGAGAGGAGGAGGAGGAGGAGGAGGAGGAGGAGGAGGAGGAGAGAGAGGAGAAGGGGGGGAGGGGAGGGGGGAGGAGGAGGGAGGGGGAGGAGGAGGAGGATGACGAGGAGAGTCGGAGGAGGCTGTGGAGGAGGAAGAACCATCGACCTGGAATCGCCGATGCATCGCGAATAGACCGGCGATGGGTCCCCGATCGCGACTCCGCACGGCTCTGGGCGGGTTGTGATATCTAGCCCCTATCGGAGATGAATGGGCGCTTGGGGGGTCGATGCGACCCCCCCGGAGCCTATCCCCCCGGACATTGCCCCGGAATGCAGCCCCCGATCTCCGACCATGTGTGTTTGCTGCTGGAATCCTGGCGGGTGCTCCCAGTGTCAATGTCCAGGGCCCGCTTCTGGGCCGCGGGGAGACCAGACAGGAGTCCGGGACCAAAAACTACCCACAGGCAAGTCCCGCTTCTGGGTCGCTTCTGGGCCGCGGGGAGACCAAACAGGAGTCCGGGACCAAAAACTACCCACAGGCGAGTCTGATCGTCGGGTGGCTAGGGCTGACACCTGGCCACAAGAACGCGGGTCAAGAACGTGAGCCTCTTCGCTGAAGGTCCAGCGGAGATACCAGTAACGCAATACATCCCAAGGCTGAGGGGCCAAACACGAAGAAAATCATCATGGGCACCCTCCAAAGCAAAGGCTGGTATCCACCTTCGTGCCAACTGTATGTGCTCGTCCTCTTGGCGGCCGGCGGAAAGGGGTGACTCGAGGGGGCAGGATCAATCGCCATCGAACCGGGCTGCATCGGCACGGAATCGATATCGAATCGGATCAACCGCGCCAAAATGCACAACAGAACCATGCCGGCACCGGGCCGCATCGAACCGCCGGAAAATCGGCATCGAATCGAATCAGGCTGGGCGAACTCGGTATCGAACCGTGTCGATCAGATCGAACTACACCCTAGGGAGCAGCCTTCTTCTTGGAAGGCAAGGGGCATCCTTTTTCTTGGAACGCAATAAAAAAACTGTCTTCAAACACTCCCGCCTCGGGAGGAACGCTCTCGGAAACCTCCGATCCCTTCAGAAGAAGACACCCTGTCTCCTCAGAAGACTCCCCCTGGCACCACCTGCTCTGAAATCCCTCAGAGGATCATTCGGAGAATCCTTCGAAGGGTTCCCCAGAGAGTTCTCTGCAAGCCACCTGTGTGCGCCGCCAATCCTGGTCGTCGTCCTCGTCGTCGTCATCGCTGTCACTGCTATCGCCCTCGTCATCCGTGGAGGAGCAATTCCTCGACGCGGGAACCCCCACACGCGCCTCTCTTTCCTGGGAGATTCCCCGCGCATGAGTTTCTGAATATGAGCGAGGTTGGGCGACTGGTTCGAGCGGATCTGACTGCAGGCGAGTCTGGGCACGGGTGGGCCATGGGGCCCGTGCTGCACCGCTGGCCGGCTCCACCTTGGATGGCCCAGATGCCACGCCTGCGACATCGCGATGATCGTGGGGCTCTGAAGAGGAGAGGAGTCGATGCGATGCGATGCGATGCGACCCACATTCCAGCCCCTATGGGGCGGTCCTCTAAGAGGGTAGGCGTATGGGACACGCAGTCCCGGCAACCGGGCGTAGTGGAAGATGATTCGTACGTGTGGAAATATATATATGGAAGGACAGAGAGAGCTACATACAGACAGGCAGGAAGAGGAGCGCATCACGACTGTGACGCAGCAAACAAAGGAGAGGAGTCGGGGGGGACAAACAAGCGTCTCGCTCGCGATGGCGCCACAATCTTGGCGCACACTGGCAAGTGACCTCCTCGGGCGACTGGGGCCTCCGAGGCCCCACACAACCGTGCGGCGACGGACCGCGCGGCGAGGCCCTGATTCTCCGGGAGCGCGCGCCTCTGGGATCCCCGGTGCGCCCGCGGGATCACCAGACGCGGAGCAGCGGATATCTTGAGGTACAGCGAGCGCGTGCAGACAGTGGGCGCGTGACCGCTGCTCGACCTCGCGGCGCGGGAGAGCACCCACGGCATTCCCCCCCCTCCCCCCCCCCCCCCTCTGCCCTGCCAATGCGAGTCGCTCTGCGGGGCTGCCCTGGGTGGGTTTCCAGGGAGACGGCGGGGCACGTCGGAAGGCTCCGCACACGGCTGCTGCGTGTGCCGACAGTGGGGCTCCGACAAGTGGGGCCCGATGCGTAAAAGGTGGACGCGGAGATGGATGAGGGAGAAGCGGATGGGAGGAGGAGGAGGAGGAGGAGGAGGAGGAGGAGGAGGAGGATGGATGCTGGATTGGCCTGCCTCCGAAGAGGCAGTTCCGAAAAAGGAGAGCGGGCGAAACAGACAGCAGAACGGGCATGCAAGGAGGGCGAACATGCGGGCGAGCCTAGGAGGAGGAGGAGGAGGAGGAGGAGGAGGAGGAGGTGGAGGAGGAGGAGGAGGAGGAGGAGGAGGAGGAGGAGGAGGAGGAGGAGGAGGGGGAGGAGGAGGAGGAGGAGGAGGAGGAGGAGGAGGAGGAGGAGAAGGGGGGTAATGGCAGAGATGGGCGGGGACACGCTGAAAAGGCAGCAGTGCGGCGTGGGAGCCATCGCCGGCTCCGCACTCCAGTGCAGAGTTTCTCCTTCGACTGGAGACACAAAGACTTTGACGCTGCTCCCGCCTCTTTGAGCTCACGCTGTACAGTCGGGGCGTTGACCCAAGGAACCTTAAATAAGGAACGAGGCCCCTTTCATCCACAAATTGAACCTCAATTTTCCATGGAAAACTAAAAGAAACCCCAAGGCAAACTGCAACACAATCAAGGAACACGGAGCCCCTCCCCAACGAAACGGGTTCCTTCTTCAGCACCCCGACTGTACGTGTGCAGGCGTGGCCGGACGCCAACAAAAACACGAGCGCCAGAGAACGACCGTGACGAGAGGGGGGGGGAAGGAGGGCGACGCCCAAAAGGCGGGCGAGCGGGAGAGCGGCGCCGGCATTCAGGCTCCTCTTGTTGCTCCTCGAACGCGCATGGTGAACAAAAATCATGCATCAAGGCACCTCTGCCGCGCAAATTGCCAGAAAAGAGGGGAGGATGGGGAGGAGAGGAGTCCACTTCGGAGGATGGGGAGGATGGGGAAGAGAGGAGCATGGGGAGGATGGGGAGGAGAGGAATGGGGAGGATGGGGACTGGGGAGCTGGGGAGGATGGGGAGGAGACTGGGGAGGGGGGGATGGGAGGCTGGGGAGGAGGGGGAGGAGACGAGAGGAATCCACTGGGGACCAGGACGCCTCGTGGCCCGCGGCCCACGTCAGTCTGGCCACTGACGCCCACGAGGTGCGAGCCCCGCTGACCTTCGCCTTCCGGCGCGCACTGCGCGCGGCGCTTCCTCTCGCCACGATGACGGCGATGCGATGAAGCATCTCCCGCCGCACCGTGACTGGCACCGCACGGACCGCGGCGTCCGCGCCCTTCGACGTGCCGCCCTGGGCCACGACCGCGACCAAAACATATTCAGGCCAACATTGCTCATTTCAACAACGCCCTCTTATTGACGACCCACTGCAGCAACCCTGCGCCTTCGCAAATAGGTCCAATCAAACTCCAAACCTCGGCGGAACAATGCACATTAGGCAAAATGACGACGTCTGAGTTGCTGTGGACAATCATTCCCCACACACACACACACACACTGCATGCCGATCAATTCACTAAAAATAACCTCCCTGAGAAACTGATCGAGACTTCCGAGACTCCTCCGTGAATATATCTGCAATGCCTTGTCGGGCGGATTATATGGCGCCAGTTGATGTCGTTGACAGGACCATTTCTGTGTGCTTGCTTGTCTTCAAATCACAATATTCTTCAGGCCACTGAATTGGCGGAAGATCTCTGCGAACTTGGTGTTTTGTTATATTATTCTGGCGCTCTAGACATGCTTCTTGACTAGAATGTTTATCGTTGCTCTGCAGGCTGCGTCGTCAGGTGCGGCGTAAGTCTCTGGTTGAAGAGTGTTTGGAGCTGTGCGTATGCGCCATCGCCGAAGTCTTCCATGATGCCTCGTCGTGGTTGCTTCTGGTGCTGCTAGTTTGAAGGGGCCCTGGGACACACACACATAAATACACACAAATAAAACGATTCCGATATTTTCCTATAGTTTCTGGCTTTTTGTCTTCCTCCCCACTTCACATATTTTCCCATTTTTCTGGGGGACCGACGATTAATTGTGTGTGTGTTTTTTCCCTCCTGACACATGTTGTTGTAGGCATCGTTGGTATAACTAGTCGCCGGTCGTCGGCTCGGCAAGAAACTGGCGGCGCTGCTGAATATGTTTTTGCGCCTTTGTTATGAGGGGGCATTTCATGAATACAGCTTGGTGGCTAGAGCCGAGGTCCAGAGGTTGGAAGCGAACAGGTCGATCACTAGCTTGCGACGCTTCCTATCGAAAAAATGAAAACAATCTTGAATGGGCCTGTCTTGTCGCAACCGGGCTCGTCGGTAGATATGGTCTGATGGTGCTTGTAGTAGAATGCGTTTGCAATGACAAGTCGTTGTTTGACCAAATTATGAATCACATCTATCGCGGGTTGCACGCTCCCAATCCGAATTTGCCCACAATGACTCTTGTGATGCCGTTATTGTTGCAATTGTCGAGGTTGTCTTTGTGCTCAGCGCGATGCTTCCCGACTTGTGCACTAAACTCACCAAAGATGATGCTGGTGCGCTTTTGCTTCCCTGCGTCGGCGTGGAGCGCGGCCGAATAGTCGTCCATAAACTGAACATGTGTGGCTGCATAGCCGGAATGGGGGAAATACGCCGTGACGATTCTGATCCAATGCGTGTAGACGTCGAGGTCAATCTAAACAATCCGTTCACTGATGGGTGTGAAGCTCCTTACGTGCTTCGCGTGCTGGTGGTGGGCCAAAGAAGCTACGCCGCGTGAAGTGGTGGTATGGCCTGATCCTGCAACCGCTTGCTTCTCGGATTTGGTCGTCCACTTTTCAGGGGACTCGATCATCCAAGTCTGGCTACTTGCCAACACCTCCACATCCAAGCCATCGAGTTCTCGCAGAAGCACATCTACTCAATCGTCATTTCTGAGGCTTCTCGCATTCTTGTGAATAACGGTGGAAACCAAGATCGATACTGACGTTGCTGAATGCACTCGCCAACGCCAGAACTATCGGGATGTCCGACATGGTCCTCCCGAGTTGCTGTCGTCGCATGCAGATAGGGACGTCACCGTCAACCCTGCCGTATGCTCCTCAACCACCTCCCGTGCCATTCGAAGCACCTGCCACTGCAAGAGAGCCAGAAGGTATAGCTGGAATCGGGAGAGCGTCGATGTGCATGCGTGGTATAATTGGAAACGCTGGCCTTGACTCTGCGTCCGTCTGGGGTCAAAGTGATCTCTGAGGTAATGCAATTTGGGTTATAGTTATAAGACCGGGGTTCGAAGGCGAAAGCGGAGGGAAGGACAGCAGTCGCAAGACTTGGATGTGGAATATCGGATGTGGAGGCAGGAGCCGGAGAAGCACGATTCTGCCGTCGCGATGCTGACGTAGCTCCGGCGTCGACCCTGTATCCGCCGCCGCTGAAACGAGCCGATGCTGACGGTCGACGGGTGGAGGTTGAGTTGATAAGTCTGATGCTGGACGCTGGAGGTCGGATTGCTGAAGTAGATGGTGCAAGTGGTATGTCGGATGCTGGCGGTTGGAGGTCGGAGTGGTGAGCTGGTGGAGCTAGAAGCCGGCGTTGGATTGCTGAGTTGGTGGGCGGTGGAAATCGATAAGTAAAAATAGAAGTGGGACGTCGGATGATGGTTGTTGGCCGGAGTGGTGAGCTGGTGGAAGCTGGAATCCGACGGGTATGAAGTGACAGTAGGAGGTCGGATGCTGAGGACTGGAGGCCGGATTGCTGAGCTGGTGGAGGCCAGGTTCTGAGATGGGGAAGGCTGGAGGTCGCTAGGTGGATGTGGAAGGTGGGAGTGGGAAGCAATGAAGCAGCAGCGAGCGAGGGGGGAAGTAAAGGGAGAAGGCATTCTCCGAAGGTGGCGGGGCTTCTCAGAAGGCATGTGGCATGTGGCCTTCTGGGAAAATCTTTGTCTTCGGAGAAGGCTAAGACAAATTCTCAGAAGGCCGGTGGGCTTCCGAGCCTGTTGAGAAAACCCGCCCCTTCTCACTTCCTCCCAGGGCTCGCCGCCGAATGGAAGCTGGACTCGGAAAATCGTGAACTGCAGGACCGCTGTCGGTAGTGACATCTTTGCCCACACCCGTAGAAACACGAGCATACATATTTGTAGTCGTAGGGGTTCGCGTATCGTAACTGCTCGTTGTTTTGTAAATCCCTCCATTCGCCTCATTCCCCCGCAATCCACTCACAAATGCCCCTGCCCTCATCGATCTTCGTACTGACGGCCAATTCGCCACCCACTATTATCGTGTATGATGTATAGCTGTTCCGTGTTATCAACACGGATGAGGTATGTTAGGCCCATGGTATTCTTCAGAAAGTACTTGACACCAGAGCAGCAATTGCGTGCAACCCACCCGCACGAATAGTGGACGGTCGCTTGTAGCCCATAGTTGACGAGGAGGAGGAACAGGAGGCGGAGCACGCTGACAAGGTGACGACGACGGCGACGAGGACGAGGATGAAGAGGAGCAAGCCAGCTCAGGCCCGCGCCGAAGAACTCGAATTCGACGTCGGTGATCGCGCAAATCTTCTTGCGCGTCGAGCCGCCTGGGGCCCGCGACCACTTTCCGAGGCGCAGCCCCTTCCTCCAGGCGAGGGGGAAAACCGCGCGCGACGAACGTATCCAGATCCGTGCCCTTGTTGTCTGGATGCCGAGGCGGGGTTCGGTGGTTACGCGACTCCCATGAACACGCTCCGCGCGGGGCATCCGCGCAAAGCCGCCCTGTATCCACCGCATCGCGGCCGAGGAGCCCCAGCCGCGAGGCCGGGGATAGGGATGCGCTGGCTGCCGACGCGAGACGGGAGGGCTGGCGACACCACCTGGCCCCGTGGAGCGAGCTGTGAAGGCGGTGCCCGGCCCTCGACTGCCCGCAGGAGTGACCACGGGTGAGAGGGGCCCTTGGTGCGCGGACTGAAGGGGCGCAACGTGGCCAAGTCCAGGCGCTCCGACAGCCGCTATTGCGTCGCGCTGAGCGATCGGGGGGACCCAGATGAGCCCGCACCAATAATTAGGGGAACGAGAAATTACATACACATGAAAACTCGGGGGTCCGCGCGGATTTCTCGGATCCGCGCTGGACCCCCCTCCCTGGCGCGCGGAGCGCGCCAGGGGCGGCGCGGGAGGCGCCGCCGGGGGGCCCCAGCGCCGATCCGAGAAATCCGCGCCGACCTCAGAGTTGTTATGTTTATGCCACTTTTTGTTCCCCTAGATCGGGGGGACCCAGATGCGGCGGTGGACAAACCTCCCTTTAGCAAACCTCCCCTAAGTAAAAACGGCCTGGGACCGAGACCGACAGACCTGGACCCGCAAGAATGACGGCCGCGACGCCCCCTCGCGAACCGAAAACGGCCAAGTCCTGAATCGACGTGTCAGGGTAAGAGGTCTGTCCACCCCCGACAGATGAGCCTCGGGGATCTTCTGACCCGGGTCTATCCAGACCCGGGTCAGCAGGAATCCAAAAACTGCATTGCAGGAGAAAAAAACTACAACGCAGGTCTTCGCAAACCCGGGTCTGCCAATACGAGCGGCCGCCTCGCGGCCACGAGCGGCTCGCTGACCCGGGTCAGCCAGAGGGGGTCTTCGCAGGATCCTGCAAGATCTGGCGCTCTGGCTGACCCCAGTTTGCATTGAACCCCGTCTCAAGGCTCCCGAGAGCCCGCACCAAAGGTCGCTCCAGCGAAAGGTCGCTCTTGCGCGTCATCGACTCCCTGGGGCCTCGACGGAGGGCGAGCGCTCCGGCAGCGGGCAGGGAGGCCCCCGGCCCGGGGCGGACGGCGCGGAACGGCTGCGGGCCCGAGGGCGGAGGTCGAGGACAGCAGGGAGGCACGTGCAGCCATTCATCATTGAGGGGGCCCTGGGACACACAAATAAATACACACAAATGGAAGGATTCCCCCTATTTTCCCATATGTTCTGGGTTTTTGTCTCCCCCCCCCCGCTTCCCATATTTTCCCATCTTTTCTGGGGAGTGGACGATTCATTGTGTCTGTGTGCTTTCTTCCCTCCTGAGTTATGCCGCCACAGTGAGAACTGCGTGAGGAGCGAATGGGCTTTTTTCTGGCGAGGGCGAGCCTCGGCCGCAAGCGCGCCCCGACCCGGATCTGAGGACCGTGCCCTCGGACCCGAATCCCCTCCTGAACCCGATGTGGCCTTTGCCAAGCCTCCTCCTGAACCCCCCTTTGACCCTGGCGAGGAATGGACCGGGGGTGAGGGGAGGAGGGAGGCGAGGCATCGGGAGGGCCAGGGCGGAGGCGAGAAAAGGGGAGCCAGCGTAGGGCCGGGAGGAGAGGCGCTGGAGGGGGGAGAGGACGGGGGAACGGGGCCCGCGAAGAAGAGCAGAAAGTGGGCGGGAGGGGGGCACGCCACTGGAGGGGGAGAACAGAAAGAGATAGGCGCTGTCGTCGGCCACAAACCCTAGGGATGGCCCGTCGGGGAGGACCTTCTTGCACCACAGGGGCGGCTGAGACAGGAGGCGAGGGGGAGGAGGGGAAGAAGGGGGTGGAGGAGGAGGAAGCGCGGCGGGGGGGCGCGCCCTTCCCGATCAGCCGCCCCTTCCTGGCACCCTGAGGAGGGGAGGAAGAGGAAAAGGAGGAGGAGAGGAGGAGGCGGAGGAGGAGGAGCAGGAGGAGAAGGAGCAGGGGCAGGGGCAGGAGCAGGAGGAGGAGGAGGAGGAGGAGGAGGAGGAGAGGAGGAGGAGGAGGAGGAGGAGGAGGAGGAGGAGGAGCAGGAGCAGGAGCAGGAGCAGGAGGAGGAGGAGGAGGAGGAGGAGGAGGAGGAGGAGGAGGAGGAGGAGGGAAGGCCCCCCCCCCTTGCGCGCGGCGGGGGGGCGCGCCCTTCCCGATCAGCCGCCCCTTCCTGTCCGCCTCGCAGGGGTGCGTGGTCCAGCCGGGGCCCGGGGAGTCGTCGCTGGCGCGCGCCCTGCGGGGTCGCTCCGCAGGCCGCGGGCGCCGTCGGACGGCGGGGAGATCAGCGGGGAGGGGCAAACAAAGAGTGTCATGTTGCTCCGATCTCACTTACGGACCACATCCCAGAACTAATGTCGAGCACCCGGACAAAATGTCGAAAGAGTGTCGAAACAGTGTCGGGCGAGTCTCCCAGGGCCGGACACGTCAAAGCCCTAGAGTTGTGGTACTGTTCTGCTGCTCGAAATTCGTTCTTGTGATCAAGGTCAATGGTTGGAACATCACAGAACGAGCGAAGGGGCCCAAGGACACACTAATAAATGCACACAAATCCCAGGATTCCCAGTAATTTCTAATATTTCTGGGGATCTTCGTCTTCCCCCCCCCACTTCCCATATCTTTCCATATGTTCTGGGGGGTCGACGATTCATTGTGTCTGAATGTTTTTCCCCCTCCTGAGCGAGAAAGGGGGGGAGCGTCAGGGACGGAACAAGCGCAGAGGCAAGCGCTCTGGGCGGGGGGGGGGGACGGGGGAGGGCCACGTCAAAGAGGCGCGTCGGATGTTGTCGTTGTTTCTCGTCGGCTTCCAGCCTCGGGATGCCCTCCAGCGGTTGCGCCTCGCCGAGAGCGTTCTGGGGGTGCTCTTGTACAGTCGGACTCGATTGGAGAGGGCACGCGAGAGGACACAAGACCCTTCCGAAGGTCACATTGCCATAGGAATGCAGGAGGCACGGGTCGCGAGACACAGGACACAAAGGTGCCCTAGATTTGGCAGGGTCGACCTACTCATCCGGGCCGACTGCAGTCCCGAACGGCCGTTGGAGAGCCGAGTCAGGACCCGGAAGCCAGGCGGGCAACGTTAAGGGATGGATGGCCTCAGGGAGGATCGAAGGGTTGCAAGATCTGTGTTTCAAAACTCTCTCTGCGCGACAGCCGGCCAGGCCATGATTCCGTGCGGGAGCTGCTTCTCGGTTTCCTGAGGAACTGCACGAGAAACCGATGAAGGATTCGGACGAGAACTCGGGAGCGGCCAAGAGGGGGGTGTCCAAGAGGGGGGGTGCAAATCATGACTGGCGGCATGTGTGCGGCCCAGCGGGGGGGCCAGGGACGTAACGAAATAAGAAGAGGCGCCATCAAATCGGGGGAAATATCATTGCCCCCGCCATGATATCCACCCCCCTAGTCATTACCCTTACGTCGGGCGTGTCCCCCTACAGGGGGATTTTCGACGAAAATTGTTTAATAACAAAAAACCCAAAATACCCCAAAAGGGTACACAAAAAAATAAAAAAATAGTCCCCAGACCAATTTTGGACTATTGTTTGACTATTTTGGGGGTATTTTTAATTTTTCGTCGAAAATCCCCCTGTATGGGGGACAGGCCCGACTTATCATTACCCCCTCTTTTCCGCCCCCGAGAGCACAAAACAACAGCTCCATGCCCGACGAGATCCGGGAAGCGACACGGCATGCACAGCCATGGCTCCGCATGCCACGGCAGGGTGCGCACGTCGCGGAGCAGGGTGCCTCTCGGAGGCGCCGCCTCCGCGAGGGCTGCAGGAGCACGAATGGAAGGGGCCCTGGGACACACACAAGAGAGATAGACACAAATGACCAGACTCCCCGTCCTTCCCCATACTTATTTTGGGGGTGCCTCGTCTTGCCCCCCCACTTCCCATGTTCTCCATTTTTTCGGGGGAAGCGACGAGCCATTGTGTCTGTGTGTGCTTTTTCTCCCTCCCGCGAGAAGCGGCACGCAAGGACTCGAAGCACAACGCAAAATCTCTGACAACAACCGTTAACATTCCTTCAAGTCCGTATCACGAACACCGCTATCAGGCAGCAAATTATACAAATGAACGTCGCCAAACGTCGAACGAATCACATAATCAGAACACCGTGCGTGGCATGGATCAACTGAATGCACAGGCGGGGCCCGAAGGGCACGGGTCCTAATCATAGGCCCCTGGGCCTCGCCCCCCCCCCCCCCCCCCCCCCCAGGGAGCACCTTCTCGCCCCGCGCCGCCTTCTGACAGCCCCTCCTCTCCTCCTCCCTCCTCCCCCTCCTCCTCCTCTCCTCCTCTCCTCCTCCTCGCTCCTCCTCCTCCTCCTCCGATCGCCTCCTCCACCTCCGCCATCCTCCTCCATCCCTCCATCCTCCTGCTCTGCTCCTCTCCTGCTCCTGCTCCTGCTCCTCCAACTCCTCCTCCTCCTCCTCCTCCTCCTCCTCCTCCCTCCTCCTCCTCCCCCTCCTGCTCCTCCTGGGAGGGCCCCCCGGAGATCAACCTTGCAAACATAGCGCCGACAAAACAGACAAACAGAAACAGCCCCAAACAGGAGCCTCCGGCACCCGTTCGAAAGCCTCCAGCACCCGTTCCCGTCAGGGGCCGTCTGCCTCCTGGCAGAGGACAAAAGGGGGCCCATAGAGGAGCCCCTGGACTGCCGCTCGCCGGCCCGCAAGGGTGCTGGGGACGGCCCGCCTCTCTCTCTTCGCCGAGCGCGTTCCACTACTCGCAAAGTGCTTACTCGCAGAAGTCCGCAGAGCACATGTCTGCTTTGATGCAATTCATCGCAGATCTCCCGCGGGTGATCCAGGCCATTTGCGAGTAGTTACTTTGTGAGTAGTGGAACGCGCTGGTCGATCTTTACTCCCCCATTGGGTTTTGGCCCCCGTTGCCTCCCGCCCGATGCCTCCCGCCTGGCGCCTCCGCACGTCCCTGGTCCCTACCCTGCCTGGAGGGGAAGGACACGACCACCGCGACCGAGACCAAGACATGCGACGTCCTGACTTTTTCAGGACGGCTTCCCTGGAAGTCCAGACCCTTTCCCCGGGGCCGGTTCATCCTGAATCGGTGTTTGACGGTCCCGAGGCCCAGCGAGAGCCCCCCGAGGCCGAAACTGGCCAGACATCTCCCGTGCTGATTTGTTTTAAGCGACGCGATCATGTCTGGGGATCTAACGCGGAGAGTCGGTGTCGATCTTGGTCATCGCCCACCGTGGACATCGTCAACTCATAAACCACCCTCACGGCCGGCACGGACCATGGCCGAGGCCTGCGTCGGCCAGAGCTGGCGACGCCTCGGCCGTGGTCATGAGCACCGTGCGTCTTCCTTGGATCCTGGACCCCCAGCGCCGTGCGCTCTTTTTCTCGGGGGCGGCCCAGAGGGGGGGCGTCCAAGAGGGGGGCGTGCAAATCATGGCCAGCGGCACGTGCGCGGCCCAGGGGGGGGGGGGGGGGCAGGACTGTAATGAAACAAGAACAGGCGCCATGAAGTCCGGGGAGCTAGCATGGCCCCCGCCATGATATCCACCCCTCCCTGGTCCTCACCCCCCTCTTTGCCGCCTCCGATATTTCATCACGCAGAAGTCTGGACCCCTTCCCGGGACAGGCTTCTCATCTGGGTGGTTTTCTGAAGGTCTCGAGGTCCTGTGATCACCCCTCACTCAAGCAATGGCGAGGCGCCCTGGCTCGCCTGTAGCCCTACCAAACCATGTCCTAAGAACCTGTTGTGGTGTCCGCGAAATGTTAGAACATTTCTGGCGGATTCTGTCTTGTTTGAGCACATCGGATTATGTTATAAGAACATTGTTTTGTTATCAGAACAATTTGGGGTTCCACAACAATTTCGTGGTAGGACTATAGGAATGCGGGGACGGTCGGTCCCTGCTAAAATCACATACACAGAGCCGCGCCTGGACGACGCTCAACGGTAAGAATGGCTAGGTGAACCACCTGTGCATTAGAACAAAATGGAAGATCGTAAGAAGCGCGCGTACGCGGGCATGCTTTGCCCCGGCGGAGCGCGAGAGTATGCTACAGTGCGCGGGCGGAGGAGGAGCAGGAGGAGGAGGATGAGGAGGAGGAGGAGAAGGAAAATGACAGGACAGGACAGGACATGACATCCGCATAAAGGGGGTCAACGTCAACACCTACAAAGGAGCTGTGCGCGCGACTAGCGAAACCCCTTGCGATTAGATTGTGCCGCAGACCCAGATTTCCCATGGGGGCCGGCAGGGGGCGCACCCTGAAGCTTCAAGGGACGAGCTCCGAGGTGGCCCCGTAAGAGAGGCTCGCTACCTTGTGAGAGGAGGAGGAGGAGAAGGCGGAGGAGGAGGCCCCTGGAAGCCGAAAATTGCACAACGCCGTCCGCCAGCCGTCGCGCTATTTCCCACGACCGCGAGGAGGACTGCGCACAGACAGCCCCCACAGGGTAGTCCCGGCTCCCGGGGGCGGTCTCAGCACCCCTGCTGGCTCCGCCTCCAACGCGGAGCCCCGGGGGCGCGCCCCGGACGCCCCGGGGTGAAGTGCTGAGACCGCCCCCAGGCGACTCTTAGGTTGGGCATGCCCCCCTACAGGCGGATGCTGGACGAAGCATGAAGACTAGTCAAGCTACGGTCTAAAATATTCGAGAACAAAAAAGAAATCGCCCCCAGATGATGTTACCATCCCCCGACTATCTGTAGACAATGTTTGACAATTCCTCCTGCAGAGGGGCATGCCCGACATAAGGCTACTCGGAACTCGGGGGGCCTTTTGAGGCCAGCGGGCCCGACTGGCCTGGGGCCGCGCGCTCACTCCCCACGAATGTCTGTGTACACAGGGGCGCTCCACGACTCGCAGAGTCACTGCTCGCAGATGGCCCAGATCCGCCGCGGGGGATTCACGATCCACTACATCGAGGCAAGCATGTCTCGGACGTATCGAGGCAAGCATGTGTGTTCCGGACGTCTGCGAGTGGGAATTCTGCGAGCTTGGTCGGGCCCGAGACAGCAGAGCCACCCCTCGAGAACACGAGACCCTCCGCCGGCCAAACGGACGAGCCCTCGAGGACACCCTCCCGAAGGATACACCAGAACATCCGACCATCACGAAGAACTGGGGCATCCTCGCCGAGCCGACCTCGCTCTCATACCCCGGCCCGACTGTGCTGGAACGCCCTCGGCGAGTCTGCGCCGCGCCGCCGCGCGCGGGGCCGCACTGCCGGCGGCCCGCTCTGCAGGAGGGGCTCGCACCGCCGCCGGCGACTCTGCGCCGCGCCGCTGCGCGCAACCCCCTCTCTCATAGGAGGGGCTCGAATGCGCCGGGGCTCGGCGGCTCGGCGGGGCGGCGAGGCCCGCGGCGACGTGGTCCCGGCTCGCCGCCGCCGCCGCCGGAGGATCCGGGCTCGACGCTCGAGGGTCGAACATGGCGCGGTTTTGTCAAGGGGGGGGCAGGCCTGCCGCCGCCGCCGCCGCCGCCAGAGGATCCAGGCTCGACGTCTGAGGGTCGAGGAGAGCGCGGTTTTTTTTTGTTGGGGGGGGCGCAGGGTCGCCGCCGCCGCCGGAGGAGGAGGGCCGAGGACAGCGCCCCGTCTTCTGGTCGGCTGCGCTTGTGGGTTGCCCTGGGCGCGAGTGGCCTTCGATGCTCGGCTTTCGCGGGGCTGCGGACCGAGAATCGTGTCGATATCTCTGGCCGGCTGCACTGAAGAGTGACCCTGGGCTTATGTTGCTCCCATCGCACTTAAAGACCACATAACAGAAATAATTTCGAGCACCCAGGAGAGTGTCGAAAGAGTATCCAAAGAGTGTCGAAACAGTGTCGGACGAGTGTCACCCAGGGCCCGACACGTAAAAACCGTCGAGTTTGGGGGTGCTTTCCTTGCGCTCGAAAGTCTTTTTGATGATCCAGGCTAAAGTCGGTTGGGACATCAGAGCCCTGGGCAGGCGTGGCCTTCGTTGCGCGGCTTTGGGGGGTCGCGGAGTGCCGAGTCCAAGCGCGCGAGGCAGTGCCGGACAGACCCCCGCGGGCCCGCCCCGCAAGCCACTGCGGCGAAGGGTTGCTCTGACGCGTGGCTGGTTTGAGAGAGGGGGGGCTGGCTTTCTGGGCTCCGGGGGGCCTGCGGGGGACCTCCAGCCATCGCTGCCAAAGGTCTTCGTCGTCGTCGCACGCCGTACGCCGTCTGGGGGGAGGAAGAAGAGAGGGATGGGGGTGGGGGGAAAGAGGGTGGCAAAGGGAAAGTGGAATGGTTGAGGGAGAAGAGGGGGGGCCAATCGATGAATTGATACGCAGAAGGCATGTGGAGACCACCATGACTGGCCCGGGCCGTCCAGCGAAGTGGCATGGTGCATACGTCCTCCTGGCTGATCCCAGGATGGTCTACGTATACACCATCCTGGGCTTCGTGCTAGGTCAGTCCCTGTAGCACGGTTGTGTAAAGGTACCCTCAGGAGCCCTCCAGAAGCCCCTCGAAGACACTCTGTGCCGAGACACAGCGATGGTACACCACTTGAGGACCATCTGATTTGGGATATGGAAGAACGACGTGGAGGCCAAGAGGGAACACTTGAAGGGGCCCTGAGACACACAAATAAATACACACAAATAAAATGATTCTCCATATTTTCCTATATTTTCTGAATTTTTGTCTTCCCCCCCACTTCCCATGTGTTTCCATATTTTCCTGGGAATCGACGATTAATTGTGTCTGTGTGTTCTTTCCCCTCCTGAACAATGTGCGTGCGCGACTAGAGGAGAGCAGCAGATCGTAAACTTAGACTCGCGGACGCCCGCGCAACTTCCCTGGACCCGTGCTGGAGCCCCATCCATGGCGCGCGAAGCGCGCCAGAGGCGGCGCCGGAGGCGCCGCCAGGGGGGCCCAACGAAGACTCAAGAAATCCGCACCGAGCTTCGAAACCTTCTGCTTGTTTGGCTCTTCGAACTGCCTCGGCGAAGGGCAAGACTTAGGAAAGTCCAAGGTTCGCGAAAGACTGGTTTCCCCCTAAAACGGCCGAACCCCCCCGGAACCCTGCGGAAACCCCATCGGGACCCTTCCGGGTGGGTTTTCGGTGGGGTTCGGGAGGGTTCCGGCCGTCCTGAGCGAGGAAAAAAAACAAGGTCCCTGGCGAACCCTGTACCCATCGGTCGGGAGAAGTAGGTAGAAGCATGAAGTAGGAAGGCGTTGAAAATAGATTGGGTGCCCGACCGCCCCCTAAAGAGAACGGAACAGGCGAAGCCACTCCACCAGTGCAGTAGGAAGGCGCTTAACGCTGATTGGAATCTGGGACTCCAAAACTACCTGCTTTCAACGACCAATGTAGGGAACCGAACTCTATACACCGACGCGATTTCCGGCCCTGGACTGAAGTTTGCACATGAACGCGGATCCTGGTGTATATGGGACCCTGGTGTATACATGTGCCGCTGATTCCCTGGGAAATGAAAACAAAAACGTATACACCACACCGCCCCGACGTCGCCCCCGACCCTCAAAAGAGTCTGAGTCCGGGGGTTGAAAGACAGCCCGCCGCTGGTAATGTACATGTTCCAGTGTCCGACGATGGGTGCATTCCAAGACAAGGCGGCGCCTGGCGCCGACGTAGAAGCGCTTCTCCTTCTCCTTCTCGAACTTGCGGTCCAGGATGTGCCGCACCTCGACGAGAGGCCCGGGCAGAGGGGCCGCCCTTCCTTCGCAGCGAGGGGACCCCCACCCTTCGACCGATGCCCCTCTTGTGTCAAGTCGGGCGTGCCCCCCCACAGGGAGATTTTCGACGAAAAAGAAAAAGTATTCAAAAAATACCCCCAAATGGTCAAAACATACTCCAAACAAAGTCCCCAGACTATCTTCTTTGACAACTTTGGAATATTCACCCTGTAGAGGGGCGGGCCCGACTGAACCCTTGTCCGCGAGCGCGGCTGCTATAGGCCTCCTAGAATGAAGGGGCCCAGGGACGCACAATCAAGTCCACGCAAACTCCCATATATGTTTCCATATCTCTTGGGTTTTCGTCCTCCCCCCCACTTGCCACATGTTCCAATATTTCCTGGGGAATCGACGATTCAGATTTTTCCCTCCTGATAGATCGGGTTCGAGTGGATGGGGTCGGAGGATCGCGCCAGACCGCCGATGCATCGGCGATGCACCAGCGAGGCATCGTCGACGTGGGCGATGCATCGGCGACGTCGACGTGAGGCAAATCGGGCGCCGCATCGAACCGCATCGCCGATGCATCGATGATGCGGCGCGATCCTCCGACCCAATATACTCCGACCCCATCTAGGAGGCCTAGAGCTGCAAAAAGACTCGGGAGGGGCTGGGCTGCTCCGTGGGGTGGCCCAGCCGCCGCTTCGAGAAACCCGCGCGGACCTCCCGAAGCCTGGGATTTACTGACCCGGGTCAATCCAAACCCCGATCAGTCGGGCCCTGCAGGATCCTGCAAGATCCTGCACCCAAGCCCAGAGCAGTGCGCCCCTGGCCCTGCAGGATCCTGAAAGCTAGGGCGCTCTGACGGACCCCCGCTTGCATTGACCCCTCTCACGGCTCCCGAATGACAAGGCGTCGGGAGGGGCCGGGCTGTTCCGTGGGGGGGGCCCCGCCGCCGAGGCGAGAGCGCCGCGCGGAGCTCCCGAAGAAGCTTCTGCAGGTGCCGTCTGTGCTGCTCGTCGAGTGCGGCCGTTGGGCCGTGCAGCCCGGCGGGCGCAGCTGCTCGTAGGGGTCGGGGGGGGAGGAGGAGGAGGAGGAGGAGGAGGAGGAGGAGGAGGAGGAGGAGGAGGAGGAGGAGGAGGATGGGGAGGAAGAAGAGGAGGGGGAGGAAGAGGAGGAGCAGGGGGAGGGGGAGGAGGAGGGGGGAGGGGAGGAGGAAGAGGAGGAGAAGGATGAGGAGGGGGAGGAGAAGGA